GCCTCAGTGAGAACCGAAGAGGTGATTTTGTAGGTGAGTATGGGTGTAATAAGCGCATTGCAAAGCCGGAACCTCAGCTTCTATTTATTCAGGTTCTATGCGTTCGGTCTTAATTCTCGACCAGGATCCTCTAGCCGAAGAAAAAGATCGACACCCCCACGCTAGACATGTGGACTAGAAATAATTATAACTCTGCTAAACAGGTCAAAAGTGGCTAGCAAAACCAGGCAAACCGACTGGAAGACTCACTCGTAGCCAGGTGAGGTAGCAGACGAGCAGATAGGGATACTTGTAGTAACAACGCACGTAAATGGGATGAAGGATGGAAGGCCCCCACGAAAGCCATTGATCAGGACAAAGGAAGTGTCAGACACTGGACAAGTGACCAGACTGTGTGCTGGACGTGAAGAGTCTCGACCTGCATAATGGGAGGTGACGACAAGTTGACTGCACAGTGGAAAGCACGAGTGTTCGAACACCACATCCATTTTGCTTCTGATCAAAGACAGATACTAGGTCTGAATAGAGCCAAGTGGTAGTGCAGTCCATCTGCCAGCTGTAGGGAAAGAAAATAATAATTTACAGCGGACGGTGCTCATAGATGTTCCAACCAGTCGGTTTTGGATGGAAATCTTGCAGAAATGTCTGACGAAGAATGTAGTCTATTGTATGTCATGTACATTGTGCGAAGAGCTCTACGTCGGGGAAACCGAGCGTCCAGTGAGGGAAAGATTCAAGGAACATTATCGAGAGGCAAGGGTGAGGGCAGTGAAGACTCCCTGGGGGGGGGGGGGGGGGCATTACAAGTCTGACCACCGAGAATTTGCAACATCATCGCCTAACTTTCAGCCTTTCCACCACGCCAAGATTCTCGGCAGGGAGTCTTCGCTGCCTTCCCGCAAGTACATGGAAGCAACCGAAATCAGAAGCAGAAAGCCAGCAATCAACTGTGACACTGGATGGAGACTATCGGCATAAATTCATCAAGACAACAGGACCTTCATGGTTACTGTGGGCAAGACCATCTCATCGAATGGATGCAATTACCACCCGTGAGGCTCGCACTCACGCACACCCCCCCCCCCACACACACACACGCACGCTCACACACACACACGTACGCACACACACACGTGCACTCACACACACAAACACATACATACACACACTATCTTTCTCTGCCTCTGTCTCTCTCTCTTTCTCTCTCTTTCTGGCCTCGTCACCTTCACATCTAATTGGCGATCACACCAGTTGAGACATGCACTTCACGCTCACCCATCATCACCTGACTTGAGATCTTGCAAGTTGAGACATTTGTTTTAGGCTATTACCTGGCCTGCGATATTGTGGGTAGGTTCTGTTTTTGTTTCTGAATGTGTGACATTATCTTCAATGTTAGTCTCAATTCTTAGCACTAGTTATGATGTTCCTGGTATATTGCCACGTTATTGTTATTACCCTTTTTTCTGTAGTTGTATTGTTGTTTTGTTCACAGGAGTCACATATCCCTGAAGATGCCCTCTTGGGCGAAAATTTGGAAAGGAGTTTGAAGTTTGGTTTTGAGAGATTTGGAGAGACTTTAATTTTTTTTTAGCCAAGGACTTTGTGCGGCCGTGGGCGGTGAAAGAAAATTAGAAATCATGACAAGGCTACATAGGATTTACGCCATCCTTCTTGTTTTATTATTATTATTATTATTATTATTATTATTACGAAGTAGTGGTTGCGACTTCGGCGATGATTTTTGTAAGAAAGGTTCGCTCCCCACACCGGAGCTCGCGCTATTCCGCCGACTTTACTTGACACTTGACTGACTCACGACTGCCATCCAGAGCACACGAGAAGTCCATCGAACCTTCGACTCGGCAAACCTGGAAGAAAGCACCACTCCCTGCTCAATACACTCAAGCTCAACTGATGAGGGGTGAATTCCCCGAAACACTGTGTATTGAGCAGGGAGTGGTGCTTTCTTGCAGGTTTGCCGAGTCGAAGGTTCGATGGACTTCTCGTGTGCTCTGGATGGCAGTCGTGAGTCAGTCAAGTGTCAAGTAAAGTCGGCGGAATAGCGCGAGCTCCGGTGTGGGGAGCGAACCTTTCTTCTTCTTCTTCTTCTTATTATTATTATTATTATTCCTACCGCACTACGTTACTACAAACTTAGTGTTGTGAAGTATGCAATGGTAAACTTCGAACATTGGTCTAATTTGACAATAAAATATAAACATTTAGCACACATCGTGTAGAGGAGAGGATTGATCGCTGTTGAACCTCCTTGTCTGCTCCCAAAATACTCCCCACTTATCACGCAGACCACCAATCCTAATCACTTGGCGGAACTGTGTCGATAGTAATAACCTACACTGGTTTATCACCTTGATTATATTTATCTACCATTCGACGATGTCCTCTGACTGAAGACCATCACGAGAAAACGTTCTGAGAAAACAAACAAACCATTCCAGTGATGATGTATGCATACTCAGAACCATGTATCTAGTGACTGCGCACTTTGTACGTGTACTTTTCACTGTGATCACAGATTATTGTCTCCTCGTCGACTTGTAAGGGTAGACAATTATTATTCCAACACAACATGGCAAGCTACAGTCTCCACCAGGGCGTTCATCAGCATACACGGTGTGCCTCTAATTCCATATACACAACTTTGTATCTGTTCTTCAATACGTTTGACCAGGACAATGTGGCAACGATCCATCCCGTGGCTTCCAGCGACCATGCAGCAGTCTTAAAGAATTCTACCTCCACCCGACAAGGAGTCCCGAGACATCAATGGTGTGCCGCAACTACCAAAGGATAAATCATGAACGCTTCAAAGCTGACTTGATTCAGCAGCATTTTTGCAGCATCGAAGGCATCCCAAGAGACATGTGGACGGAGTGGAATAATCGCTTCCTGCAGGTGCTTGACACTCATGCCCCTCTTAGATCTAGTAAGCAACACAAGCGACGATCAGTACCGTGGATGGACAGCAAGCTCTTGCACATTTTGTGTAAGCGCACCTGGCTTCAAAGAAAGTGGCTGTCAGACAGATCTGAGCAAATGTACGCCATATTCAAAGCGGAGAGAAAAGAGGCCGCTATGTGTAACCGGAAGCTGAAAAATGGGTACTACGGTGCAAAATTTCAGTTTGCAACTTGTAATGTAAAACAAACCTGGCGAATCATCAACCAGCTGACGGGGAAACAAAGAACATCGGCACCGCTTCAGTGCTCAGCTGAAGCAATTCGAAGTGCTTTCGCCGAGATCGTGGGAGATCCCAGCCGGCCAGTTCATCTTCACCTACCCCAAGGGACACGAACGGCAACTAGTTTTGTGGAACTTGTTCCTGTATCTATTGCAAAAGTTCGGAAGCTTCTAGAGCAATCGAATCCGACGAAGGCATAAAAACTGCTTTATGGCAGTTTTCTAAAAAAAGTTATTGTGTTCTAGTCCATGGACCCCGTCTAAAAAGTAAGAAGTTAACGAAATGTGATTGCCGAAAATTCACACAAAACCTCACAATAATCACAACACTTGAAATGCTGCTTTCAACACTAAACTTGTACTGCACCAACAATTGGCAACATGCATGTCATGCTTGCATAGGAAAGAGGATCACGAGGGGAAAAGGTCTTCTACATGTAGCTTTTCATTCTGTGTGTAATTATTGTGAGGTTTTGTGTGAAATTTTAATTTTCGGCTATCACATTTCGTTAACTTCTTACTTTTTAGACGGGGTCCATGGACTAGAACACAATAACTTTTTTTAGAAAACTGCCATAAAGCAGTTTTTATTGCTATAATTTCTTTTGTTTTTTCTGTCACCAATCAATGGAATGCCCTATATCAGTATGTAAATTTAAACTAAATGATGGCCTTCACATCATATCCAGAGATCAATACCGTATTATACGCATTGATGTGCAAGCCTTTTCTGGCAGAAAATGGCAAAATGCATGTTCTTCTGCGTGGAAACATGTGAGTACGTAGTGGTGGACCGTAGTGATACATTTTTTATACGGAGGCCCAGACAAAAAAAAAGTACCTCACGGGGATTGCTTTCGTAGATATGTCAAAAGCATTTGATAAGGCGAAGCACCAAACCCATTCAAGACCTATTCGAGATCGGAATTGATGGAACGTTGGTGCAATGGCTTGCAGACTACCTCTCAGATCGGACACAGTATGTCAAAGTTGGTCAGGTAAAGAGCTCACCATACACCATCTTCTCCAGAGTACCACAGGGGTCAGTTCTCGGACCCTGTTGTTTGTTCTCTACGTCCGTGACATTGCGAAAGAGTTGTCCCCTCACCAAGTTGCGACCCTGCAATTTTCGGATGATATCTCAATTAGATCCAGCAGCATGAGCATGGATGAGGTGTCCCAAAATCTCTCAAGTGCTCTCCCGCATCTCGCCGATTGGCTTAGGAGCCGCGGTCTCATCTTGAATGAAAAGAAGACACAGAGAATACGGATATCGCCAGTACGGTCTCAAAAATTTGACTTGCAGGTGCAATGTAGCGCAAGGTTGACGGGCCCGTCTTCCCCCCAGATGAAACAGATGAAACAAGATGAAACGAGATGAAACGAGATGAAACAAGATGAAACGCCAAGTACGGGCGCAGATGAGGCCGAGATGAAACGAAATGAAACAAAATGAAACAAAATGAAACAACATGAAACAAGATGAAACCAAATGAAACTCGAAGTACGGGCCTAGATGGGCCGCGAATGAAACAAGATGAAACGAGATGAAACAATGTATGGGCGTAGATGGGGCGCACGCGACCATGTACCACGCGTGCACGAGCGAAAAGAACTGAATGATCCAATCATTGAAATAATTTTGTTTGCAGAGGCAATTCGCGCAAGGGAGGGATAGCAATTTGATGGCTTGCGAGCGACAGCACGAGCCGCCCATGGAAGTACATGTACCCACGATAGGAATACACTGTTGGGAACATGGTGGCGCCGCTGACGGTACCTATGTACTAGTAAGTGGAATTACTTTATTGGAAGTACCCACGACGGGGAAAATAGTCTCTCTAGTATTGTCGGTGAATGGTGATGGTGGTGGTGGCGATGGCTACTTTCCTCTGCTCAGAGAGAACCCCTGCATGTCCTTCGTCGTGATGCAAAAGAGCAGTGGATGCAGGTAAAGGCCGTGTCAGAGAATTTCGCCTAGTGCTGTGGCCAGGGTGAAAATAAATTAGGGCTGAAACGATCATTCAATAACTCCTAGCCATCAACCGATCTCTTTAGCGATGAATATAATTGTAACATAGAAAAATGTGGGCACAAGCTATGCAATCGAGTCCACCGACTAAACCGGATTCCGAATAGTCAGACGTGCACAATCTAGCACAAAACTGGCAAGGAGTATGAGTACTGAGACATTGAGATCAATTATAACTGTTGGTTCATAATTATAGATTCTTTCCGGCTGTAGTCGCGCACCTCGAACACAAGACTATGAAGAAATTCCATGATGCCTTTGCTACATTAGCTGTGGCCACCAGTCAAACACTCTAAATATACCCAGGCTACCGCTCAGTGTTTGGTATTCTGTAAACATGGTAAACATTTCAGGCAATTGTGTCGACACCTGTGGACATCTGACTGGTCTAAAGCCTAGTTCTCATTCGACGTAACACTGACGGTACAGGACGTAAGGGCCTGTCGGGACGGCTGGGGTGAGCTGTAAAATCTTTTACAATTCGTACGACACGACATGCTGCAGTCGTTGCGATGTTCTCCAGCGAACGGCGCGAGTCATAAGGCACAGTCCGTGACGGGGTGACTTTCGGACCTAATTTCTTGTTTGTCGGGACTTCTTTTCAATTATTTCTCCTTGAATGAAGGGAAATCAAGTTCGCAATACCAGTTTTTCATGGAGACAAAAAGTAGCCCTGAAAGTTGTGCCATTCGAATAGTAGCCCTAGGAAATGATAAAACAGTTCATCTGTCATTCTCCTAAACCATCCCTAAAGACCATAAGTGACATGAGATCTTATCTTGCTAACATTCAACTCAAGTCGGGTTAGCCATTCTGCGAGTTATCATGGGAAGCGCAGTGTTCGAAATCCTAAACATTTCCTAGTACGAATCGGGAGTGGACGGCGCACGACGCCGCCTCCTGTTCACACTCAAAATGCAGCCGTTTTGTACGCTTGCGTCTCCGTCTATGCCCGTCTACGGTATGAAAAGTTGAACTGATCCAACACTTCCTGTCGCTTCCCGATCCGTAGGGTAGTATGGTTGCGTTCCCGTTCCTGGTGTTCTCATTGGAGTCGTCAGACCGTCCTGTCGCTTCCCATCGATCCTTACGCCGCGTCCCGTCGAATGTGAACTAGGCTTTATCAATATGAACTAGAGGAGTTCATGTTGTTTCTAGAACGAAGAATCAGGCTTGTCGTCACCCTTTGGCTTGAAGCTCTTATCACCAACTTCTGCAACGAATCAATCGAAAAAATACCGTCTTGACTCCCGATCTCTTTCATAGCCACGCATCAATATTACTGCGCTTGAAAGTACACGATTGCACTCGTATCCACAATTGGATGTAGAGGAAGGGCTAGAATACTGCCACTGGTATGCATGCATAAAAACGTCGTTTGCATTCGCTTTGAACACTAATGATTATCGATTGCGCTCTTAAAACGATCGGTTTGCGAGTTATCTGTATACTTGTTTCAGCCCTAAATGCATTGCCCTCGTAGAGGACATGGATGAGCAGTGATATGAGCAGGGATGTTAGTACTGATGTGCCTTTCGTCCTCATATTTTACAGAGAAGACGTCTGCCTCCAATAATAAAAATAATGTAGTAATGATAATGTGTTGCCCTTTTATCTTCTCAGGAGCCCTATGCCTTTGCCTCTTCTCCCCTGGACTGGACGCTCTGTCCAGTAGTGTCCAGTAAATGATTTGTAGTTTAAGTTAGGGTGCACTCTCTCTTGAGGATTTGCCCACCTTGATGATTGTGCTCTTCGTGTTATTAGAAAATGTCTCTACCTGCCAGGATGGTATAAGAGCACGAACTGAATCACCTGTTGGTGCAGAAGGCTTGGAGGACTGCTTTTGAAACAGTTGTTCAAATTTCCTGCACCTCTTCGTAGCCGTTGTCTGATTGCTGCATTCTGGGGAGACTGAAGTGAAGGTTAGTGAAGCTGCACAGTCCCCGTGGAAATGTTTATGCTGCAACTATTTACTGCTGACATGTATTTATGTATTTCAGGAATCTCCAGAGGGTGAAGGCTTGCTGCAAGCTCCGTCCCTTCAATGCCGTGATACATCCGTAGATCAGTCGTGTGCCTGTCCTGTGCTTTTGTGAGCATGCTCCTTTGCACATGCCTTTGTCCTGTGCATGCGCGGGCATGGGCGCGCGCGCGTGTGTGTGTGTGTGTGTGTGTGTGTGTGTACGCCAACGACACCGTCCGTGCACATGTGCATGGACGTGAGTTTGTGCGTTTGCCTTTGTTATATGCATACAGTATTATCAATTTATCATGCCTATACAAGCCTTGCCAGTGTCTCGTTAGGAGAAGCAGATACATGATTACACCACTTGGGTTTTGACCTTCTTTGGCCGGGGCGAACGTCCAAGGAAAGACTCCCTCTGGGCCAAGGTGTTGGCGACAGTTGAGAGTTGTCCTCTATTTTGCAGCGGGGGACAGCATGGCATATTTGGTGCCGGAAAGAGTGCAGTTGCACCTTTCACGTTACTGTAAAATTTGCAGGTCACTCCCTTGAAGCTGGAGACTGCTGATACTGCTGCTCAAACGGCTGCTGCTGTTACTCTCTGCTGCTACCATGGTCGTTGCTTTGTATCAATGGCGAAAATTCTCAGATGAGCTTTGGGTCCGGGCACTAGAACCCTGCTGCTGCCTCTGCAGCAGTTGTAGAAAGTTTTGTAATACCAGTGTCGATGGTGAACTTCTGCTCTTTTTTTATCCCAGACACTTTGTGGTCAAGAGACTATTACGTCTTTGTGGTGTTGTCGTTGCTGTTTGGTTATACTAGTTGGCGTCTGTTTGGAAATATATTGTGCTTTTCTGTGTGTTCATGTGAACGTAGAAGCCCTCACCGAAACCAACACTACGTTGCTGTGTTGTTTTCTTCCAAGGTCGGGCACAGTAAAGAAGACGACTCTGTGAGTATATTCGCAGATGAACTTTGGGTTAATAGAATGCAGGTGCTGCTGCTCTTGTGCCGGGCTGAAGGTGTCAATGATGGGGTGGATCATGCTTTCTCTTTATATACCTTTTGTATATTGGTGTGTAAGTAGGAGCACATACCAACACGTAATCTTTCTAAAGCCTAGTTCTCTTTCGACGCAACGCTGACGGTACGGGACGTAAGGGCCTGTGACGGCTGGGGTGAGCTGTAAAATCTTGTACAATTCGTACGACACGACATGCTCCAGTCTTTGCGATGTTCAACAGCGAATGGTGCGAGTCATAAGGCACTGTCCGTGACGGGGTGACCGTCCCGGCGTTTCCCGTCGATCCTTATGTCGCGTCCCGTTGCGCCCCGTCGAATGTGAACTGGGCTTAACAATGGCATGGAGACAGTTTCAATTGCAGTTTAATGTTACTGCACTGCACTGCAGGTATCAAGGCACTACCCAGAGGGAGGATGTTGGCCTTCTCCTGATGGGAAAATGTCTTCTTTCTCATGGCGTAGTCAGGACTGCACTGACCCTACCATCCACTTTACCTCTCCGGAAAGGGACTTGACAACCAGTCAAGATGGAAGTGCAGAGATATACCAGCGGTAAGTCACATGCTTAGGATATCCACTTGATGAAGGAAGGACAGGTGCTCAACTACTACACGAAAATGTGAGCATAAGGAGATGGGCTGATGGGTCGGGTGGGTGACAGGTCTTTGCCCGGTTGCTGGAGTATAACAACCTGGGTCTTTGATTGGTTTAGAAGCGGTCCGATCTATTCGGGGTGCCATCCTCAATTAGACGGGCAGTGAAGATCTTGCAGGATCAATCGCACATGTAGAATATGGATATGTGGATGCGGGCAGCAGATCTGTAATTTCCAGTATCAAAGTTCAGTTGTATTTGCTTTTCTTTATTTTCTATTTGTGATGTTGTTCACTGCAGCTTCTAGCATTAACTGCCAATTTGCACTGACGCAGCAAGACTCCCAACAGTCAAGTATGTTTCATTGCATGCACTAGGATTACAGTAGAATGCCGATTATCCGAATGTCAACTGTCCAAACGGTCAATTATCCGAAATTCCTGTTTGCACTGAATTCAATTCAATAAGTCGACTTATACCGGTAAAATATGGTAACAGCGGGACTGTAGGGTGTGGCATTTCCATGATACAGTGGAAAATTTCACGATTTTTGGTGCAAACATAGCTCGGACCCTGCTCGATTGGATATACAATGCAGGTTCTTGGAACCACGGACACGACTATTTTCTTCGGGATCTGAACGTTTTAGGTCCGAGAGCTGTTCGCGGTTTTGTCGCTTGTCACGGTTGTGGACTCATCGTTGTAGCATAAATGAGGCTGGACTATTCCAAGCGGAAAACTAAAATATTTCTTTCTCAAAGCACAATCACTGGCCCGGAGGAGCACACCTTCTCTAACTACATACCGGGTGCAGTACATGACACGTCCGTGTATTGACTAGTCTCTTGTACATTTAGATCTACCACACGACTCGCGTAGCGCTAGCACGACAGTGCGGGTGTAGTCATGTACTACTACTACTACAGTACTGCCGGGCGCCGAAGAACGGACCGCCGATGAACGGCCAGGCTATGATTTCGCTATTTTTTAAGAACGGTCTAAGTAGAAACGTAATGTACAATATGAATATGATGTACACTCAGACGTATAACTCTGCATAAATGTACATGTAAGACTGTACCATCGAATATGAACGAAACTGCTGTGCTCGCCAAAAATAAGAACGGGCTAGGCTAGAACCCTGACCCCGTTCTTCGGTGCGCGGCAGTACTGTAGTGTAATGTTCCGTATGTTTGTTGACTATGGCATGCACGCAGAAGCCAGCGGATGTAAAAAGTCCAACTCGGAAACGGCTAAAAACGGGGTATCCTCAAATTTTGCCGAGCTGAAAATCACAGGGTACGTAGGGCTTGTAACAGTGAGTTGAATGCTCTTGGTCCGAAGAAGCTGCGACAGATGGTTCTCAAATCGAACGCGTTTCGAATATTGGCCATTTTGCACACAAATAGATGGCTGCACACTGTGACCTTATTACCTGGATCAGGTAGACTGCGTGCTCGCTTTCGCTCATTTTCGATTGGGCGTATCTGACGAACCATGGACCGCAGCCTCCTCGGAAAAGAACATTCGACTCAGCGCCCCAAACTCTACGGGTCCTGAAATTAAAAAAATTCAGCAGACTTCCCCTCTAATACGTAAGGCAGAACTCATTACAGTCCTTGATTAGAAGTTGACATATTCTTGTACGAATCCGGTGGCAGCCACAACAATGTCTTTTGTGAAAAATGTATGCAATCCTTTTAAAAAGCATCTCCCACCAGGCATTCGATCGAATTTTTCATGGCGTGGAGATTTGTTACGGCGTGAACCGATGCTTGGCGTGTAGAATTTGCTTTTTGATGTGTTCTTTGGAAGATGCAGTCTTAAAAATGGTGTGGATGTCTTTGTTTCTGTCCTTCTGCTGTCCTCGTAGAAAGAATAATATAGACATGCAGAAAATGTAGGAGAGCGATGACATCAGAAGGACACTCTCAGGTTCAGGGTACCTGTACTGCCCCAATAAATTGGGTCAGATCCCAAAACGAGGTTGGCCGAAGCAAAAAAAATAGAAGAGCCTGCCTTCAATTGAATATGAGGAAGAAGAAGACAAAGAAAGAAAAAGAGTAGGAATTTGCTTGTGTAAACTTTGTTTCCTCTGTCTAGGCTGCCATCGCATTATAGCAGCCAACAGTGTGTGTGTGTGTGTGTGTGTGTGTGTGTGTGTGCGTGTGCGTGTGCGTGTGCGTGTGCGTGTGCGTGTGTGTGCGTGCGTATGTGTGCATATGTGTGCATATGTGTGTGTGTGTGTGTGTTTGCGTCTGTGTGCACACGCTTGTGTTTGTGTGTGTGTGTTTGCATGTGTGTATATTCTGCTAATCTTGACTTTTAAAATTCCCACATCTGGGCATATTGTGTTCTGTATGTGAATTTATCTTCATTAACTTGTGCACTACGTTCCTTTCTTCACGTTACGGCACTTTAGTATCGTTTTACTTGAACATCATACTCTCGCCCAACTTTGTTTCACCAACAAAGGTTTATTCTCCAAAGTATTTCTAATTGATTGTGTATGAGTTTCATACTACTGTCAGGGGCGTCGGAAGGTATTTTAGTGTGGTACGGTCAGCCATCTGAAGTACAATTGACTCGTGGGGGAGTGGTGGCTGAGCCGAAAATTTTTGAATTTTAGATCCCCAGTGTATTTTGTTGACTCACGGGTATCTGGGGCAAAAAGTGGTACGGTCAATACCGTAGTGACCGTACCGTGTGCGACGCCCCTGACTGTTAGAATCGACCAGCTGTGTTTCCTTGAGGGGCGTATCCTTACCTGGGATGTGTTTTCTCATTCCCGGCAGCAGAAAGAGCTCTACAATATGTATATAATTTAAGAATAGAATTTGATGTACAGGAGGAGAGTGCCAATTATCCCCACCCCTCGGGACGCGGGCTGTCTCCAGAGGGTTCAGATGAGAAGAATGTTCGGATAAGAGAGCAGTCACACATCTATCTAAATCATGCATATTCCAGCATGTTTTCATCATGTTCGTTCTCTTCAGCAGTGAAACAGGAACTAGGTGCACTCATGCTCCTCTAAATTAATGACACTATTATTACACATTTTGACTCAAACCTGTTTTAATACATCTTGTGAATCGCTTCAATGGTGCCCCGAGCGACGAAAATCACTAACTTTGAAACTCATCTTCTACCCCTCAATTAAATGCAAGCAATTATTTTGGATAATTAATCATTTGGATAGTTGACATTAGGATAATCGGCACATTGTGTGTGATTTGGGGGGGGGGGGGAGGAAGAGGAGGAGGCTGCGAGAGGCCGTGGTGGACGTGTACCGGCTTGTGCACAGCCTGGAAATAGCCTCACTTTAGATGTATGCACATTCAAACGGTGGATGCTTCCCGCCATCCTTTTCCCCCTCTTTTTCCTTTTCCCGCCATTATTTACCCCCTCTTTTTCAATTTCCCGCTCTTCTTTTCCCCCTCTTTTTCCCCCTTTTTCTCCCCTTTTCCCCCTTTTCTGCGAGAAGATTAGCCCCCTCCTTGCGCAAAACTGGCTGTGCCAACTACTCGCTCTGCGAAATATTTAGGTCTCCACTTTGATGTGAACATGAGCTGGAACACCATGTTGGATGGGGCGTCGCGTCAAAAGTTGGCGTGTTCAGACGATACACTACGTTCCTGCCTTTTCAATGTCGCATAGCCTACTCTCGTTCTTTCGTTTTATCACACTTTTTGTATGCCGCTTCTGCTTACTTACCATTTCTGACGGTGTATCAAAGTCGACGGCTTTATGAGCCCTACAAGTGTGCTCAACGCACAGTCTGTCGGGTACCTCCCGAAACACCCACAAGCAATATTCTCACACGCATGAACATCCAAACATTGACCACATACGCCAACATGCACCTTTTGTTTTTTATCTGGCGTTGTCTCCATGACTCCTCTAACATCAGCATGTTGTTCGCTATCTTTTTCAGCTGCAGAAATTCCACTCAAACTCGTGGTGGGCACAGCAATTTACTGATTGTCCCAGCCAGCCCAACTGCATATCTTGCCAAACCTGTTACCTATACTGGGACCCTATAATGGAACCAGCTCAACACTGCGGTCAGACAAGAAAGAAAACGCAATCGCTTTACGTCAATGGCTCTTGCCTTTTTGCTTACCAGATAAATAATCCTCTTTCCAAATGCTGTATGTATTGCTCTTTACGTTATTTTCTTCCTATGAAAGTCGCGACTCCTTTTTTGAGTTGTTTTTCTTCTCTCGTTTTCTTTCCCTAATAGTTGCTGTTACACTCATTGATCCGTATGTACAGATATACAGCATTCCCTCACTGGTGGGACCATTGTTATTAGGCTAGGGAATGTTTTGTACTTCTTACTATAAATAAAGAATACAAACAACAAACAAACAATAGACGGTTTAGACGGGTGAACACAGCAATGTACAAACAATTATACAAGTAAAGTGACAAGTTCTCCCTGACACAAAGGCCATGTTTCACATGTAAGGTATCCGTTGGACTGGTATATGAACATCTAAACAGCTTTGTCATGATACATGTACTTGACATGCACATGGTATCACGTGATAACTGTCACTGGCTGACCTAGTTCCCTGACCTATGCGTACAATACATACAGTAATCCTACAGATAGAATTTGGAGAAAAATATGGGAAGAAAAATTAGCAGATTCTGTTACTTTTTCTTATATGTTTCATGGATGTTTTTCAACGGGATAAAATATGGAACAGATTTCAATGAAGTGGGTGTGATAAGGTTTTTAGGGCTCTGCTACTTGTACTGGTCTTCAACGAGTATGTCCCACCCTTTGTAGCATAACCTGCGAAGGGCTAGTTGCACGTTACCTTCTATATATCACTGTGTCAAGGCTACAGTTGAGTTAGTTCCATAACAGATACACACATATACCATTAAATTTTAATTTACACCATAACAAATGAGCAACCAGACGGAGACAGAAACAGAATGTTGGTGAAACTAAAAGCATAGTGTAAGACATGCAAGAGCAAGCTGTAATGTCCCAAGGACGATCTGACCACCAAACAGAAACAAGGAACAAAACAATACGAACGTTCAAGTGGGTTTCTACAAACAAATACAGAGGTGTGCACTACGATCACAAGGTAAGATTTTTCACAAAGAAAATGCATTGAACAGGCTGAGATTATGAATAGGTATGAAATCCTTTGAAGGGTAAACCCTATAGAATATTCATGACTACTCAAACCTGCAGTTTACTATGCATGAGTAATGCCTTCACGCAAGAAACTAAGATAACATGCAAATGGATTTATAGCCCGAACTACAGACTCCATAGAGAAATACCGCTGTAATGATAGCACCTGAGCGCACTTTCCAATACTCATCGTTTCCTTTAACAATCCATCTAGTCTGGTGTAGCTCGCTTGCATTTCATCAATGAAGCAGGAAATCGCTGCCTCGTGTTTATCCTTGTACTGTACTGACGTCACTTGCGTATGATCATCACCATCTATAAACGAGTATTCATGTGAACTGAGAGACTGCGGAGAAAGAACGACTGAGGAAGATTTGTAAAGGATCTGGCTTCCTGGTCTTAAGCAATTGTGTAAAAATATCGGCACGTGAGAAAGGTTAACGGACCTGTCCGTCATTGTCGCTGCCAAGTTAGTGTTCATCTCTACGGCTATAAATATCGTACATTCGGCATGTGGCTTGAAAACATCAAAATACACTGGATGGTCAGGTCCAAACTGCATATTTCTTTCAAGACCTTGGGCGCTTTTGGAGAGTATCCACTTATAAGATTTGTATTTCGGTGAAATCTCCACTTTTGACGAGGTTGGCAGGTCAAATAATGTAAAGAAACCCAGGACAATATCCATGAGATTTCCTGGGGCACTGGAAAGACTTGATTTAGCTACGGTAGGCCATGTAGACTTGCAACCATTGCAATGCCACCGGTACCCGCAGTTTGACCGGGGATAAGCAGATATCCTGGCTGGTCTTATGCATTGGTTACATTGTATTTCATTACGAATCACCTTCCTTCTCGCTAAGAAGCGTAGCAATGACTGGTTGTCCCGTGTATGCTCCAAAATGTCCTTCCGAGAGTACACCTCTGCCTCGTTGTCCATTATAGAACTTGGTTCCACAATCTGGGTTCCTTCTAGACTTGCATTTGCGGCTTCTCCTCCAGCCGCAATAGTAGAAGCCGAGTCACCGACATTGGAATCCATCTTGGCAGACGACGGCGTCACACTAAACGGTATCAAAGATGCAGTAAATCGGCGACAGAGACTTTGGACCAGTTATTGTGTCGCAGGCAGTTTATACAGGTCCCCTAGTGATGACATAATTATACAGTGTGATGATTTTGTCACTTACTCTTACCGTATTGTTGAACTTGCAATGTCACCTAGAGCTAGGCCTGGGCAGATAATACTAGCATTATAAGTAGCATTAGCGTGTGTGATTTACAAGGAGAATTATGCTAGCATTATTCATGTGACAGTACATGTCAACAAAAGTGGCATTATACTCAAATATGGAAGTTTGGTCACTTCAAAAAATTACCGTTACATGCCTTGTTCATCGAACTGCACAACCTGCATCGGATTGTCCAAACTAAGCCATTTTCAACGCATACTATTGCGGTTTTGTGGGCATTCTGGAGCCACAGCAGCATAAAATTAGAAAAAAAGGATCATGATTTTCTAGCATTTTCCATGCCGTCCACGTAGAACTACGAAACGTGCACAATACTGCCGAAACCAAGCCATTTTTCCATACTTTCTACTGGTAAATTGCTGGAATTACAGAGGAACAGCAGCAATTATAAGTAGCATTATGGTACAGCATTTTTGGCATTGCCATTAGCAATATCGAGCAAAAAAAAATTATTATCCTCCCAGGCCTATAAAGAGTAGAGTAATATTTGAGCAGATAATTCCGCTCGCGATCTTGGCGCTTGAATTTGCATGTTTGCAATGCATTATTGTATTTAGTGCGAATGGACAAGACACTATGAGGGTCCTGTGCTAATCCCTACTAGTATGTGTCTATGTGAGCAATCAAGGCACCTGTGGAAGCGGCCGAGCGACAGCCAGATGTATGCGCTGACCTGGTCAATCAGGTACCACGCCAGATCGTACAGTAGCGCAATAATGAGGTGTAACATCTGCATCTCCGTAA